GCGTGTCATTGAGAAAGAGATGTGTGAATGTGGGGAAGGCAGTGTGCTGCACATGTGTCTAGCGTATGTCTGTTCGGTAAAAGGAAGAGGCAGACAGGTGAAAAGAGAGATGGAGAAAGAGCGAGACATGTCGCAGCACCCTCAGGATGTCTCTTCTTTCTGAGCAGCTGTTGTCTGAGAGCTGGAGGCAGCACTGCGGCGCCCTGTCAACTCCTTCTCCCACAGAAGCCCCCGTGCATGCAAAACAGGCTCAGGCTGCCCTCTCTCCTTGGCCACGCTTTTTCCGCCCCTTTTTGTTTCTGTATGTAACAAACACCTCCTTATTTTCTCCCCCTCTCTCAGAAGCTCAGTCTTTATTCAAATCCATTTCAAGCCATCAAATGTAGTGTACTCAGTAATAGTTACAACACACACAAACACAAAATGCAGAAAGTGAGACAATTTTATGCAAAAGAACATTTCAAGGGCAGGGACTGATAAAGAAGAGAAAATGTATTGTTGCGAATGTATGGTATTGATGAATTGGTTTTTTTTTTGCACAAGATTGATTGTCCTCTACGGGATGCAAAAAATCTCCTGTACGGGAAAAAGAAATGAACGTGTTCTGTGTGCTCTGATGTCAAAAGTTAGTGGCTTACAGAAAATTGTTTTTAAGCTTCATTTACTTTTCATTGACAGTAGTTGGACAGGCTTCTCATGTTTTTATTGGTGAACAAAACAGACCAAAACTAAATCTACAATATGTAATGGTCAGTTATTTAACATTAGCAGAGAATATAAAGAATCTTTGACCATGTGGATTCCAGTGTTATGAATAAAAAACTTTAAACCGGTAATACCAGGGGTTTTTTGCAAGGCAATAAGGCTTAATTACCAACTTGGTAAAATGGGCAACTTCCCCAGAGTAGCAGACCACAGTGACTCCAGGGACCCCAAAAACCCTATAAATTGATTTGATTGTCTGAGTACTAATTTAAGAACTAAGATGAGTCCTTCATTATCCAAATCTTGATTCGTCGTCTTGTTGTGTGGTCCTTTGTCAAAATATGTTTTTTTGTGTTTTATTACATGTGGCCAAGTGTTTTAGCACATCAATGATGGTTGCTTTCTGGGTTTCTGAGTATGAGAGTGTTTGGGGAACAGTGGTGAAAGAGGTATTCACATTCTTTACTTAAAGAGAAAGGAACTTAAATCCAAAAGATAACATTATAAAGTGAAAATGCCTATTTCCAACATGGTCCCAAGATGTTAGAAGACATAAGAAAACACACACAAAAAAGTGTTAGTGCTGAAATCCACGAGCACATTTCACAAAATCTAAAATGCCTCCATCAAAACAACAAGAACAACTAAAATAAAGTAGCTGTAATTTTAATTTATCAATAACCTGACTTCTATAAGCCCTGGATCCACAGCATGGCACCAGTGTCGAAAAAAAGGAGCTTCATCATTAAGAGGGTTCTCGAACTCACTGATATTATTCCCAGATACCAGTAACACAGAATATTCAGCATACAACAAGAGCTGACACGTCACGGCTGCTAGCATATTATTTATATACATAGGTAATATAAGGGGCCAGAAAATAGAACCTTGGGGCCCTCCACATGTCATACTGTGAGGTTCTGATACCCCATCAACATCACATACTGGAGTTCTTCCAGTTAGATAAGAAGTGAACCATTTTACAGCAGTATGTTTACTGCAAGATAATACGATTTACTGTGTCAAAGGCTTTTTGAAAATCATTCAAACATATTTTCCTTCATCAAAGTTTGTCCAACAAAGTCACAAAGGTAAATAAAACATTTTTTTCTTCACTAAGCACTCCTCGACCTGTTTCGTGAGTCCATTGCCCTTTTTGTACTTTTCCCAAGTACTCCATAGTTTTTGGGCTGGTGTGAAGTTTCAGCAATGATATCCACATAAAATTGGGACTTCAGGGGACATTGTGTTGTCATGGATACTGTAAGCTTCTCTCAGCTGTTCACCACACCAGCATCCTTGATTACTGGACGTTCATTTATGGCCTCAGTGGACAGAATTCACCCACCCTAGATGTCACTTGTGTCTTGTGTAACATGTTGACAATTAAGTAGTTAAATGTTAAAAATCTTCTCCCTGTCATTTGTGTTCGACCAGCATTACAACTTCACATCTTGTTCCCCAGTACCTACATATGTGTACTGGTACATACTGTATTGTTACACCGTAACTCTGAAGTAATTACGCTGTAAATTGTGGACTGTAATCTAAAGCTTTAAAGAAAAGTCCTGCATTCAAAAACACGTCTGTCAGTGGTTTACTATTATAGATAATCTTTTAGATTAATATTACTGCTTTTATGTGTATGTTGTATTTTACAGCTTTTTAAAGTTGTACTAATTTTAAATACTTTATATACTGCTGGTTAGTTTATTTAGTTTGTATCTCTAACAAGTCAACTTTTCATGAGCTCAGAAAACCATCCCTGTTTTCATGTTTGTGACATTTGTAAGTAAGTGAAGTAAGTAAGTAAAGCTTTATTTACATAGCTCTTTTTAAAAAGGGGTTTTACACAGTTTGTTTAGCTCAAGAAATATGACAATCAACTCATACACAAACATTTAAACTCACAAAATTTGGATATTTGTGGTTCTCACAGACAGGAAGGCTAACAATGAGTGCTGTACATTTTACAGTTACTTACTGGCATCAAGCTGCCAGTAAAAACATTTGCATTAACAGTATTTTCAATCATTTATGTAAAAAAAATGTACACTGTAATCACAGTGTTACCTGAGAATTTGTTACCCATACAATACAAATCCATTCAGACAAATGTAGTGGGGTAAAAAAGTGCAATCTTTGCCTCTCAGATGTAGTGGTATAGAAGTATAAAGTAGCATTAAATGGAAATTAAGTCACCTGAATTTGTACTGCAGTTAAGTACTTGAGTAAATACTTATATTCCACTACTGTTGGGGGAGGGTGCATAGGGCCCAAGAACAAATGATTGTCCTGGGTCCTCCCAACTAGACTAATATTTGACACAGTTCACATTCTATTGTAGTCAAACAATACAGAGAACAAAGAGCTCTCACAAGCAGATGATTATATCTTGAGGGACTCTAATTAACTTGTTGTATCATAACAAGTTAATTAGAGAAAAAAGACTTCTAGTCATTTCTGAACACTCTTAATGTAGCACAGCTCTATTACTGCACCCTCATTTATAACAGGATGATTTCCTGATAGACTGTTTATAATGAATTAAACTTAAAAAGCAACAATTTCCGACAATCCTCAGGTGTGATTACAGTATATAGTTCAGAAATATTATACACACATATATCTGACTTCAAGAGAAATGTGGCTTTAATCATTTTTGGCCGATTTGTGAAACCAACCTGAAGAATGGTGTCTAGAAGGAACACAAACAGAGGTCTAATTTGCGTCACTGTCAGTTAACATGAAAGCACATGTCGAATGGAGATTAGTCGGATAAAATAGTAGGATGGGTTGGTTTTTTTCAAGCAGTTCAATTGTGTCACTGTTTTTTTTTTTCTGTACAATGCCTGTTGATTCACCATTAGCAGTGACAGCTATTGCTCATCCCTGGAGGACAACAGTTACACTCCGTGGGCTTTGGAGACAGCTGGGAAACAGGACAGGTTGGGATCAGCTTATCACAGTTTAATAAAGACCTACACAATGCCTTACAGATGACGGTGAAAGAGAATTGGCAGTGTATCATTTGTTGATGACAATACTGAAAAACAATACATTCAACACAGTTGATGTAAAGCAAATCCTACCCTCAAGTAACGGAAAATAAACACTTTAATGCACACACACATACCGTATATACGTATTCTACCCCTGCTCTGATGAGAACAAAACAACCTCAGGGATAACAGAAATTTCCCTACAGTCAGAAACTGATGTAACATTGTTGACTATATACTGTCACCATGTGGTGTGTGTTAGTACTGCATCATTTTAATCAAAAATATATTCAGCATGTCACTTGTTTCACTTTTATTACTTCAGTGGTTTTACATGCAGTCGTGTTATGTACATGAAAGAGTTTCAGATTACAGTCATCACACTGTATTTATCATTTATGAAAACTTTTTAGACATCACATTGTGTTTTGGATACATTTGCAAATGTCAGGCTCTTCATTTAACAGTGACTCACACACTGGACGTATTCAGTGGTTTTGAAGCATTCAAATATGGTGAACTTGTTGAACTTCAGGCCACACACCACAAACTTTTTGACATCCAGTTCAAAATGCAAGAAGTCATGTTATGTCAGTCTGTCAGTGCAGGTTTCAATTAACTATGATTTATAACACTAAAGTGATGAAGTCCTTGAAGTACAGCAAAGAAAGGAGAGAGAGAAAAAGAAATCAATAAATCTACCTACATTTGTACAAGATTGCTTTCCCATTTTTATATTTGACCTTATATCTATCAAAATGCCATGGCTACACGTTTATTGTAGATGTCCTGTACATCATTTTACACATATTTATTTAACAGTTTATCTTGACATGTTGTCCAGAAAGTTTAAAGTGACGTTTTGCTGCAGATATACGAGTTAAAACAGGTGGATCCACCTGTGGAACTGGCAGTTAGACGGGTTAAAGCAGAAACGTCAGTCACATTCACACAGTGAGGCAAACCTGTGCAAATAGCCTACAGACTAGATAAGAAATAATTAAAATACTTAAGATTTCTGTGCAGCTTGAAACACTAGACTATCTCATTTGCACTTTAAGGCCACCGTATAAACGCCCATACAGCCTCGTCACATCATCCAGCCAGTATTATGATATTTGAGAACTACTTGTGTGCCTTTATCTGCACTCCGACACCGCTGCTGCATAAACACAGGCCTCGGAATAAATAAATAAAGTCTGCATTAATAATTCAAAGTGCAGCCTGTTGTGAATATGTGTGTGTGTGTGTGTGTGTGTGTGTGTGTGTGTGTGTGTGTGTGTGTGTCGTCATCGGGGACGGTGGTTGCGGAAGTAGCTGCGCTGTTTGCAGAGGATGAGACCTGCCTGGCGACCGCGTAGGGGGGAAAGAGGTGTGTGAGAGCCTGGGGTCTGCCAAACAAACAACTCCTGTGGAGATGGATGATCCGGAAACGTGATCCTTCTGAGATCCGCTTTCAGTTTCAACAGTGTAGGTTCGTTTCTGGCCTGTCCTGGGTCCCGTTAAAAAACAGGACTGAATAGGGGTAGGTATGGGTGCGCTACAGTCCTCACCTGGTCAACATGAATACGGTGATCTGGCGGAAAAGACGGGCTGTGAGTAATCGTGTTTATTGTTTGTTTTTCAATGACATCCGTCATGCGTGTAGGAGGTGTGAAAACCGGAGCTCACTGCACCGGAAATATGATTTTAATTCTAATTTTAAGTCATATCTTAAAGGGGAAATCCGATCATTTTAACGTAATGTTTGACGTCTTAAGTAAAGAAATTGTCACTATTTGCCTACAGTATATATGTACACACGTCCAATATATGTGTATGGAAAAACCTGCCCGTTTGGTGCAGTAGTACTGAATAATTTAAACTGCATGTTAATGGGAGTGTAACTTTATCTAGTTTACAGAGGGAGTTAATAATAGATCAGACACTGCATTGAAAGCTTTGACAGTTTAAGAGAAAAAGATAAATCCAACACATATCTGCTTATGGTTTGTTTTTCCTATATGCTTCAATATCTGCTTTAATTCACCTGTAGCCTCTTGTAAAACAGGTTATAGTTGCAGGGTTACAGACAATAACAAGTGGTTTACATAAAATATGAATATCCAAATCTGCTGCCTTGAAAGCCTCTCGCAAATGAGGAGCTGTTAACATCAAATTCTCAGCAAACAACAAATTTTAAATGTCAAATGATTAATTGGTTTGAAGAGTTTTATGTCTTGTTTTGTAGGTGTTAAGATTATTTATGAGTGTACATGAAATAACTTGAGTGGTTGCCTCTTTTCTGTTTTAAGTTTCATTTAGACAGATTGGAGTCTTACATACAAGATTCAAGCAGTTGAGCCACAATGAAGAAACTCTGCAGTAAGTTAGATGAATGTATGATTTTTAAGTAAGAATCGTGTACCCTTCAGGTTTATAATCATGTGATTTATTTTTTTAGCAAATTAGTTTTCTTAACAAACACCAATTTTCTTTGGAATTGTAAACCTGACTAACAGGTTTCATGTTGGCATATACTGAATAACACATACAGCTGGAAACTGTTGTGTGTATTACTGTTTGTGACTCTGTGTGCCACTCCTTAAAACGCTCTATACACCCTCAGGAGAGATCACTTCAATGAAATCCCAGATCTAGCGTGCAATCCCATCCGTGCACAGATCGTAGGGGCCTTCTTTGACAGGAGGTACAGTAATCATAGTTGAAATGTTGCTTTCTTTTTTTTTTTCTGTATCACAAGCAGTCTTTTAAAAAAAAAAAGGGGGATTTGTTTCAAATTATTGTCAGAAGTTCATTTGCTCTTTCTACATTTCTTTAGAAACTTCCGTGAGAATGGTGAGGGTACGGTTCAGGAGATCGGTTTTGAGGAGTTCCTGGTGGTCATGTCCCATTTCAGGCCCCCGTCACTACACATGACACAGGAGCAGCGTGAGAGTGTCAGGAGGGAGAAATTGAGATGTGTGTTTTAGAGCAAATCACATGATCACATGTTTGACATTATCTGTGGCTGACGCACAGCTGTTAAACTGACAGTTGTGTTTTTCTCTGCAGTTTTATTCAACATGCATGACACAGACAACGATGGGACAATAACCCTAGAGGAATACAGACATGTAAGCCTCTGCTCACTTCTCTGGACAGAAAAATGCAGTTTTAAATCTTTTTTTTAAAAACTTTGTTTGTTAAATAACCAGTGACGATCACAACAAACTCTATTCACAGTCCGCGGAAATCATCATGTGTTATCATGAGTTTATCGTGTGTTATAGTGTTATCTGTGTCTGCTTTTATTAGCATCATTTGGTCATTTTCAGCTGAATTTTGAAGGTGATTCAAGATGCAGTATCTCTGAGAGTCAGCTGCCTTTTTGCAACACTTAATTGGTGACTAATGTGGGAAAGGAGGAGGCATTTAATTTTACTCAAGCCTTCCGAGATATGGGATTTGTAGTCATATTATGTAGTAAAATTATTTCATTTTCACATCTGTCCAGTTGGTTGAGGAGCTGCTGTCTCTCAGCGAGACACTGGAGAAGAACACAGCCAAAAGCATTGCTGATGCAGCCATGTTGGAGGTGGCCAGTATTTCAATGGGTCACATGGTATGTAAATTAACATTAAGTTTAATTCTCTGTTTGTCTGCATAACATCAGTAACTTAACTTTTTCACATGCAGGAACCCGATGAGTTCTATGAAGGAATCACATTTGAGCACTTCCTCAAGGTTGGTACTCAGAATACACACTAAAATAAGTACCTCCTTAGTTAAATACCATGCTTTGAAAGTGCATTTAAACAGGTTATTATAGTTGATATGGATTATATTGAATGAAATAGTTTTTAGTTTTTGCAAACTTTCAAATAAAACATCAACCTTACCACTTCCAAGAATGATGATGTTATCAGCAATACACATTTTAAATTATGTAAAACTCTGTTTTTAGTTGCTGAATGGCTTTGAAATCGAATCAAGAATGAACATTCGCTTTCTGAGAATGGACACAACAACCTTATGTAAGTGAGGTTGGAACACTAAACTGTGTGATGACTTTGGGAAAACTGTATATGGTTTCACTCACAGTAACTATCTGTTGTTTCCTACACCAGTTTGTTGCTTGCATTGAATATATGCCTTACTCATGTTTGAATAACTATGCAAGTTCAAAGAAAATGTGTACACTGTGGATGTATTAGGGGTAGTTTATTTGATTCTAAGTAATAATATGAGATAATCAGTTCAATAACAACCAGCCTGTTAGTAGTTCAATAAAGCAATAATCAAATGTCTGGAGTAGCAGACAGTAGCAGATACTATGCATGCGAAAATGGATGCCTGAAGAACATTTTAAAATGTTAATGCCATAAATCAATAACTCTCAATAATAATCAGGGATATAAAGGTGTGTCCTTAAATGTATCTAATAATAGAAATGCAATAACTTGAAATACTTTTTATTCATGTAACAAATATGACATTTGGTGCATGCTTTCCACACCACATTTGCACAATAAAAGATTCCATGAAATAGATCTGACTTCAGCTCACGATGCTTATTTCTGGTAAAAAGGAAATGGGAGTGCTGTCATGCAAGATTAAATGCTTAAAGGCAGTTATCCAAATAAGTGCTCATTTAAGAAGAGGAGGCTATGTACAGTATGTCATAGTATAAAACTATTTTAGTCAAATCCACTTGATCTTCATTCGATCATTATAACTTTTTAAAAACACACAAATGATTATTATTCATTTCAGACATTTTAATAAAGTTTAGTTAACATGAACCTTGAAAACATAACGCTGAGCAGATTACATCAGACCGTCTCAGAAAAATCCATGTATCCTTAGAGGGTGAATGACTTGTGGAAACAATCTTTGTTAATGGTGTATTCTTTGATATATAATCTCCTTCCAATATTTTATATTTGAGAACTTGCAAAGAAGTCATGACACAATGCAGAGAATATGGAGATCCCGATCAGTGCTCACTGACATATAATCCAACATGTGAAGATGAAGCTTTTGTAATGTCATCATGTCAGGTTTTAATAACTTTACATCAAACATTATAATTTCAAGCTAAACCTTAACAGTAATCCCTCATAGACCTTTTTTAGAAAGGCTCAAAGTCCTTTGAGCTAAAGTGCAAAGTGGAGAAACAGAGAAAGCAGTGTGAGAATAAATTTAAGCTGATTACAAATAGAAAGTAAGAAGTGTCCTGTGGATGCAGTGGTTACTTTGTATATCATATGCAGTAATAACCATAACATCCCCCGTTTAAGTATGACTGGGGACCTTGTTGTCACCCCACGCACACCTCCTCACGTTTCCTGCCAACTGATACTTCTATCACTATCAATAAACATGGCTAAAATTGCCAAAAAAGACCATGTTTCCTTTGAGGTGTTTATCAGTACCTGTTTATTCTGTCCCTAGCTTGTGTTACTGTACAGGCAGCTAGTGGGCCTTTATGTTGTGTGTTGCATGTATACTAACTTTTTTTCTTTATATTTCCTGTGAATGCCAAGTGATATTCAGTTCAATTTAACTTTATTCCAGAAACATAGGTCCATATTAACAAAAAAAACAATGGACAGCAGTTTAGAGATGTAATATATACTCTATCTATGTCCAAAGATAACCATCAGCACATTCTGACTTAATACTTCATTCAATGTATTCAGTCATGGGTGTATACTGCCCTCCACAGGTCAACATATGAAAAGCATGTTCAATTGTAATAAACCTGCACCTGACTCAGTAAAGATATTTCTATGTATTTTTCTATAGTAGTTACAGGTTATGCAAAATGTATAATGTAGTGCTTTTCAATTTGAATGTTTAGATTTGTCACTTTTACTGTCAATGCCATTGTACCATTTACTTTATAAAGCTGTTCATACTTTGCAATAAAATGAGTCATATGTAATTGTGTTTCAGATTTCTAATTGTCAGTACTTGTGCTTTCTACAGACAGTGACATTGCATATTGATCTGTTTGGCCATCTGTCTTTGGTTTTGTAGAGAAATGTTGCTCCAAATGTGTAACGGGATCCATCACATAACAGCAGGTTAATATGTGTTTTCCACGTATAAAAAACCCTAAAACTATTTGAATGATAACATTTGGTATAAACATTATACTTGTTTTTAGTTAAAATTTATTTTAAGGTCACATTGATATTGTTGCTATGCTAATTCGATTGTATAGTTTGCACTGAGCTTTGGAAAGCTTTTATTATGAATAACACTTTCAGTCTATCAGCCGGTCCAGACTGACATATTTTCAACCATTATTGAAACGTGTTGGATGGAGTGCCATGCCATTTGCTACAGTATTCAAGATCCCTAGATAATCAAATATATTTACATCTATGGACTGGCACAACATTTTGTAGAGGCATTTATGATTATCAGATGTCATCTTATTTACTTTGGTAGCAAGTAGGAGTTTGAAATGTTTGTTTTTTATTTAAATTTGTCAAATTGACAAATATTGGGTGGATTGCAATAAAATTTAGTACAAACTTAGAATGAATTGTAATAACTGGTGATTCCTTAACATCCAGAGCCATCATCAGGTAACATCAGTTGGTCCCGTATTTTGTTTTACGACCAAATACCTGTAAAACCAATGACATTCCTATCCCCCTCAGCTGTACTCTGCACTGCAAAAGTTAGGTTTGTGTGTTCTTTCCCTGTGAAGAAATTGTGCAGGTTATCTGGTTTTCCTCCGACAGGAGTGTTTTAAGGTATCACGAATACTGTATCTGCTGTGTTAGACTTAAAGCATTAAGTAGGTAGGTAGGTAGTGAAAATGAATGAATAATGTAGACTGAAGAGTGACTGTTGCCCTGAGGTACCCTGTGTGTTTGTGCTTTAAATAAAACAGAGTTATAACAGGGAACTTGATTCATGACCTAGAGTGAATCCCCCATCTACTTCCAGTTTCCTGAGAGCTTGTGATCTGAGGAAAGTTTAGTTAAGCATTACTTCATTCGAACAAAAGTATTTGGTATATATGGTAAATATATGTATATGACAAATTTGCAGGCAGTGTCTGTTAATCAGGTTTTCTGCAGAATACCAGCTTCTGTTTTCCTCCGCCCACCTTTCACACACTTGCATCTCCATCTATATGAGGATGCAAGTGTGCAAACCGCACATACAGTTATCTGACCCATACACACCCACACCTTGTGACTGGCCAGACGGCCCGCCAGTTTCATGAAATCTTTCCTATCTGATGCAGCCTTGTGTACACATGCGTCATTCTGAGCTGATATCACACAGTCAGCGTCTCAGCAGCTTCCTGATTTTCTTTTAACCCCTCTTCATGGACTGTGCAGAACACAGCACATGATACCTCTAGCACAAGTTACACTATTTTTGTATTTGTTTCTCTAAAAAACAAAAAAATGTTCTTAATAGTGTAGAAGCAGACATATTTTTACTCAAATTTAGTCTAGCAAATAAGAATAATGCACATAATGCATTACCTTTTTGCAGTTGTCTTTTTTCCAGACACTCCCATTGCTGTTGAAATGATACATTATTGATGCAACCACAGAGAAAAGAAAGATCATTAAAAAAGTAAAGCTGCAAAGTATCTTTTAATAATTGTATAGCAAATAATAATAATCAGCAAAGGAGAACATATTAGACAAATTAAATATACATAACTTGGATAGAGATACTATTACACTCTCGGTCTTTTAACAGCACTCTTTTTACCAGAGACACTGAAGAAAATAAATATTAAATACCATAAATAGGCTTCATTACACTGATGTACCAGCCACCTTCATAGTCACTTATCTTTTTAAGTCTTTGTCAAACCAGTGAGTATAAGTGTTGTTGAAAGCAGACTGTCTAAGGCCAGCCTTAGGTCATCCTCAGAAGAAGAACAGTGTGTTTATTTGCATCCTCCTTCTGCACACTTTGGGTTTAAGAGTCCTTAGTTTTTGGGAAACATTTGACAGAAACTCCTTGTAAGTCTTCAGGACCACACAGCCGTAGACCTTCTGCTGGAAGACATTCTTAGGTGGAGGTAGTGTTGTCGGCCCCCCTGCTGGCTCAGGTACAGGCAAGTTTGGGAAGAGGCCCTGATAAAAGCTGCTTATGAAAGCAGCCAGGCTCCTGCTGCGAGTACTGACAGTGGTGAGCTCGGCCAGCAGTGGGCTTGTGGGCGACTGTAAGTCCGTCTGCTGCTCATACACCCGTTTGAAATGTGGGAAAAAGGCCTGGAGATGTGTGAAGATGCTCACTATCCATTCTGAGGGCTCCAGGCCGGAGATGTTGGAGTCAGGGACGTCGTTAACTGACACCTTGCAGAAGAGCTCTGACATTTCTCCTTGAGACACTTTCTGCAAAAAAGGAAAAAAGGTTGATCAGATACTGATTGAGTCACACATCTTAAACAGGAACACAAATAGTCGCATATTATGTTTAAAGGTGGAGCACTGAACAAGCAGATGAGGAATTAACACAGCAAAATAAGATACAGCAGTTTCATGTCTGCACTCACATATGTTTTGATTAGGTCGACAGATTCCTTCTCTACGAGTCTGGTCAGCTTCAAAGTCTGTTGCAGAGAATTACACCCAGGGTTTCTGCTTGCTGACACAGTTCTTGTTGAATCAACAGCCATAACCAGCAGGAGAGAGAGTAATGCTGAGGAGAAAGGAACTGGTCAGTTAAGGTTATCCTACATCCCAGCGGTGAGGGGAACTTCATTTTAAAGCCACAAGTGGAAGGAAGGAGGGATAAAATAGATTCTTCATTTTGCAAACATTTAGTAAGTGAAAATAGAACACCAAAATCTGCTTTATTATCAGTTCTGACACTTAACACAATCATATACTCTACTACTACTTCTACTACTACTACTAGTTGTGGTATGTTTAGATGCCAGTAAACATTGTCATTGTGTCTTATTCGTCAGATTCAGAAAATCAGTTAATAGTTAAACTAATCTGCTTCACTGATGCTGAAAAAAAAATTATACTGTGTTCAGAAAACTTTGAAGTAGTAAAATTGATTCTGAAACTTCAGTTTGAGGCAGCTGTAGGCAGCTAAAGGCACCAAAAATAACCACAAAAGCATGCACAGTAGAGAAGCAAGAAAAGATGTAATTGTGTTTAACTGTGTTTTTTAAATGCCTAATAGAAAAGTAGATGTAACAACACTTACTTGCTGCTGGTTCCATAAACTGTTGAAAATGCATACTCTTTACATGACCATTCATTCTCCACTCAGTATCACAGGCAAATTGCCACGACTCGTCATAATCACACTCCTTTCAAACTTTTTTAAAAGACAGAAACCACACATTTGTCATAGGAGGAAATGACGTGCAGTGTGAGGCAACCAAATTTCCCAGAATTTCCTCCCTTCTATCAGATGTGCTTTTTTTTTTTCTTCTGTCATGTCCCTACATGCCTGTTCACAGAGCAGGCATGTAGGGACGTTGTCTAATTATTATTACATGTGTGACCTTTCAGTGTAGCGCAAAGTATTTTTTATAGCACTT